TTTATCTTTTTTTTTTATCCCTTAACATTTTATTTCACTTTGTTTTTTTAATTCAATTTTGATCCTCATTCTTTCAATTATGTTTTTTTTTATCATTTTTTATTTATTTTGTTTTCAATTTAGCCCCTAATTATATTTTATTTTGTTTTTATACCATATTTGGTATATATTGTTTGAATTTAAAATTATTTTATGGTTGAAAATTTTACTTTATTACTTTTTCATGATTACCTTCCTATAGGGTAATCTCTGTCTCATGATTTAGGCCCGATTAAGTTTGGTTTCTTTGGGGTTGTTTATTAAAATATTGAATTTTTATTTTTTAAATTTATCATTTAACATTTAGGTACCAGCCCTTGTCTTAATTGTTTGTTCCACTTTTTTTTTTTTTTTGCTGAGTTTAATTGTTTGTTCCACTTTTTTTTTTTTGCTGATTTTTCTCGATCTCATATCTTGGTTAATAGGTTAGTCGAGTTAACCAAAATTGACTTAAAGTTTTTTCCTAGATTTTTTTATGATGTTGAATTTTTTCCTTTCAATTTCATCATTTGGAACTAAATTATTGGTATTTGAGCTTTATGATTTTTTTGGTTTTCTTTTTGTTGAGTTATTTTAAGTATGGGTTAATCAAGTTAGTCTAAATTAACACAAGTTTTCTTTTCTAATTTTTTTATATTGAAATTCAATTTTTTGCGAGGTCCTTCTTTTGAAATTTATTTATTTTTATCTCTATCTTATGTCATCGATGTCAAGTTAATACAGGTTGACTTAAGTTTTTTTCTCAAGTTTTTTTTTAAGACAATGATTTTGTTTATAAATTTTATCATTTGACACTAAATTATTTGCGTTTAACCTTCTTCATTCTTAACTCTTTTTTTTCTTTTTATTAGGTTATCTTGATATCGAGTAAGTAAAGTTAACTCAAATTAGGTCAATTTTTTATGTTTTTTTTTTATTGAACTTAGGTCTCTTTTTTACTAGGCCTTTCTTTTGAAATTCTATTTTTTTTTTCAATCTCATATTGGGAGGCATGGGTTAGTCAAGTAGCCGAGGTTGACTTGAGTTTTCTTCTTTGAAGTTATGTTTTTTGAAATTGTTTTTTTTTCTATTCTATTTCATTCATTGGCATTAAATTATTAGGCTTTAAGCTTTGTAATTTTTTTTTATTTTTTTTGTATGAATTATTTCATTTTTATGTCTCCAGTCGTGTGTCATGTGTTGATAGTTATTAGGCCTGCTCAAATTGACTTGGCTCATGACACAATGTAAACCACCTATCTAGTAGCAACTACAAAGCATCATGCATTCTTATCTTAACCCCACTATATACTAATATTAACTAAATAAATAAATATAAGAGAATTTCAAAAAAAAAATGCTAATAATTTTAATAACTAAACTATATCAGTTGCTCAAAACACAAGATCATATCTCCTCACCTTCCTTCCAAATCCCATCTTTATTTTCTTTTTTAAAAAGACATATCCTACAATTAGGAGTCCATAAGTAATATATATTCATTAAATGGTCCCTTCTCTCTCTCTCTCTTTCTCTCTCTCTCTCTCTATATATATATATATAATTAACACAAAAATCATCTTTCCCTACCTTACTTCCGTGTCCCATCTCTTAAAAGGTATGGTGATACTCGTTGGGGTTCCCACTATGTTATAATTATATTTCTACTTGTAATGTTTTCATTAGTTATTGATGTGTTTAAGATTATAAAGGAGGATGGGATGAACTCAGAATATAGAATAGAAGCAGTTGTTTTAACAAATATGGAATCATTTAATTTTATGTTCATGCTTCATTGTTTGAGAAGAATACTAATAGTTACTAATAAGTTCTCACAAGCATTATAAAAAAAAGATGAAGACATAGAAAATGCTATGAGTTTATTAAAAACATCAAATGAACAATTCAAAATGAGGAGAGAGAATGATTGAGAATTTTATTGGAAGAAGTGTCATCTTTTTACATCAAACATGACATTGATATTCTAAATATGGATGATGAGTACAAGATTCATGGGCGTTTAAGGTGAAAATCTTAAGGGTTTTCAAACCTACATCATTTTCGTTATGAACTGTTTAACAATATCACTGACATATAATTTACTGAGTTGGATGATTGTTTTACTAAGATGAGTATAGAGTTACTTCTTTGTATGGCATGTTTAAATCTAAATGACTTTCTAAGCTTTCAATAAAGAAAAACTTATTTGCCTTGCTTTTTTTTTTTTATCCCAATGAATTCTTTATAGTGGATCTTATGGTACTTGGTGACCAACTTGATATACATATTATTGATCTATGTGGTGATGATGAGTTCTCTAGTATTGAAGGTATTGCTATTCTTGCAGAGAAAATGGTAAAAACAAAAAAGAATTTGATATTTCCATTAGTATATATGCTTATCAAATTGTCATTACTTCTACCAATTTGCAATTGCTACAGTGGAGAGAGTTTTTTTTCCTATGCATATTGTCAATAGTAGATTATAGAAGAGGATGGGAGATAAGGGATGAATGATAATTTGGTTGTATACATTGAAAAAGATATCTTCAATAAGATTGATAATGAAGCTATTATGAAGTGGTTTCAAATATAAAAACTTGAAGAAAACAATTATAATATAAGTTTTTTCAGTTTAAAAGTATTTTTAAATTAATTTTGCTTTATATGAATTAGTATATATATTTTGATTTGATTTTTAATGCATATCTATATAATATAGTACGTATTTATTAATAATTTATCCTTATTTGAAAAAACTATGGTTGTACCATTGCATGTGCAATCATTTGATTCTCTTCCAAGTCTCAATCAGTCTTGGTTTTCCATATAATAAAATGTATCTATTCCATATCGATCGAAGATGTTGCAAAAAACACATGTATCATTGGGTTTTTTTTGGAGGAAACAAACTATCCGAAGTGGTCTAACAACTTTATCTGATGAGGTCATAAAATAATCAACATTTTTTAAACTTCAAGCACACAAATCACAGCAACATCTCATTATTAGCCCTGCAAGAGTGAATTCTTTTATAAAAGGGATAATTTGTCAAAAGAGATATTAGGCCTACTAGCACACTGAATACCCAGTTCCCGAGTACAAGCACTTGATCTAGTATTTTTATTGATTCAGTCCCAGAAGCAACGACAATGACGACAATAGAGCTATGGTAAAAGAAGCCGTGGGATAGGGTCGAGTAAGGTTGTGTTAGTTTTTCATCATTTTTTACGTTTACAGTGAAACAAACATAGTAAGGTATTTGGTAACAAACCAAACTGTATTTTATATTATAAAATCCATTAAAAAATTGAGTTTGAAATGTAGTTTTTGTGCAACATTTTTTACTTTAAAAAAAAAAAAACGAGTTTCGTGAAATCCTGCTTGTTTTTTAGTTTCAAAAGAGCTTTTAAAAAAAAATTAATTTTTTTTACTTTTTTTCCTTGCTTTAAATTGAATATTTTTTGTGTTTTTAAATAATTTTGATGCGTTGATATAAAAAATAATTTTTTAAAAATAAAAAAATATTATTTCAAAGCATTTTCAAATAAAAAATACTTTGAAAAGCAACCATAACCACACTTCTACCAAACATTTTATATATATTTTTTACTACATAAACTTCAACCACAAATTTTACCAAATACATATTTAAATCCAATTAATCACAATTAACCATATTTTTTTTAACTCTTTTTTTAATACCACAATCATTAAAATTACCTCAAAAATAAATATACTCTAAAATAAGTAAACAACCTGACACCTCTTTCCCGGTGGGAAAAAGCAACTCACAGCCAAACCTCTTCAATCAACAAGAGGCCTATGTCTACTTTTCATGAAAAAAATAACAATTTGGAAGAAATTCCTAATTTTGGTGGCGGATAACTCGAAAGAAATTCCTTCAGCTGGGTGAACCATAAATACCATCCGAAATATTCAAGAGGGCTTGATAACGTTCCGTCCTCTGAAAGCCAGTAGATAATCAATGATGTATAGCTGTTCCTCGACATTCTATTGGTTTAATTAGTTGGGTTTTTGAGAACACAGTATAAAATTATATTTTAAAAAAATTATTGTTTTTTATTTTAGATTATTTTAATGTATTAATATTAAAAATAATTTTTAAAAAATTAAAAAATTATTTTAATATATTTTTAAATAAAAAATTATTTTAGACTATTAATCCACTAAATACTCCCACCGCCTGATAGAGTGGAATTTCAAGTACAAGTAGTAGTCTACACTTGAAAGCTTTCTTGTCTCCACTAATAAACATTGAGTTTGCCCTAAGATTTTCCTAGTCCGACGTCATCGTAGGTCCATCGCCATACAAATTAATTAGAATATATTTTTGTTCTGAATAATTTTAATAACTAAACTAGAAAATCATATGCTAAGAACACAAAATTCATCTCTCCCCACCGCCTTTCCAAATCTTATCTCTTTTCTTTCTTAGAAAGACGTCTACTACATTTAGGAGTCTAAGAATAACATATATACACAACTATATTAGATGCTCAAAATACAAAAATCATTTCTCTTTTTCCTCCTTAAAAAGACATAAACTACGACAATTAGATGTTTATGAGTAATATATATTCACGAAGTGGATCCTTATCTATCTCTACATGGGACTAACAACTGTCTGAAAACATAACTATATATATTAGTTGTTCAAATCACAAAAATCATCTCTTCTCAACTTCCTTCTGAATCCCATCTCTCTTTTCTTTCTAAAAAGACATTTTTCAGAGTTAGGAATCTGAGAGTAATATATATTTATCAAGTGGACCCTTATATCTCTTTATAAATATCTCTCTATATATGTAGACTACTAAGCATTGTACACTCCTATCTCAACTTCAGTCATCCTCTGCTTTCTTCGGTGGAGCTTGTGTCTTGAGTTGACGTCTAAAATTCCCAGGGAAGACTTTTCTTCCCTCTCATCTTTCTAAAATTCCCAGGGAACTCTTTTCTTCCCTCTCCTCTTTCTAAAACCCCAGAGAACTCTTGTCTTCCCTCTCACCCTTTCTCTTATGTTTCTTATTTAGGGAGAAAAGCACTCTCTCTTCCTATATCCTCTCTCTTTTTAGTGCTGGAGCAAAAAACTGTGTCTCAATATATCTGTCCCTCGAATTACTTTCAATATGCCTTCAAGATCGTTGTTAGCAGACGCTTTTAGAGCCCACCCTGTCCATGTACACCAGAAGCACATTGACTTTACCTCTCTTCAAGAAATACCTGACTCGCACAAATGGACTCAGATCGATGATGAACAGCGTCCTTTAGTTGACCCCTTAATCACTGAATCCGTACCCGTTATCGATCTGTCAGACCCTAATGTCCTTCAAAATATAGGCCATGCATGCAAAACTTGGGGTGTGGTTCAAGTCACAAACCATGGCATCCCTACCAGCCTTCTTGAGAACATTGAGAGTGCTAGTAGGAGCCTTTTCTCTTTACCCATCCAACAAAAACTCAAAGCAGCTAGATCACCAGATGGGGTTTCAGGCTACGGTGTCCCTAGGATTTCTTCATTTTTCTCCAAGCTCATGTGGTCAGAGGGATTCACCATAGTTGGCTCTCCTCTTGAGCATTTTCGCCACCTTTGGTCTCAAGATTACACCAAATTCTGGTACTTAATAATTTCACATGCTAGCGAAAAAATTATATATATTTTTCATGATTTTGTTACGTAGTAGTACTGTAGCTACTCCTATTGCTTTTTATTTATTAGTGCACGCTTTCATATATATATATAAGTAAGTATTATGTTGGTAATGGTGATCAAAATTTGTCCTAGACCACAAACTCTATTTGCTTTTCCTTAATGCAATTAACAAAGACAACAATGAAAGCTAATGGACCCACGCGGATGATTTGGAGTGATATAGCATCAACAGAAAATCCACTCGTTGCAGCTGTTTACTTTATTTTATATCCATAACAATAGCATCTTTACTATTTGACACAATTTTTTTCTTTTTTCATCTTTTTCTAATTTTCACTTTTGTTCCCAGTGATATAATTGAAGAATATAAGAAAGAAATGCAAAAGCTAGCAAGGAGGTTAACAAGGTTAATGCTAGGCTCATTAGGAATAACAAAGAAAGATCTCAAATGGGCTGGCTCAACAGGTGAATCAAAAAAGGGTAGCGCAGCCCTCCAACTGAATTACTACCCGGCTTGCCCAGATCCAGATCAGGCAATGGGTCTTGCCGCCCACACAGACTCCACCCTACTCACCATTCTTTACCAGAGCAACACCAGTGGATTGCAGGTGCTAAAAGAGGGAATTGGGTGGGTCACTGTCCCACCAATCCCCGGTGGGCTTGTTGTGAATGTAGGGGACCTACTCCACATCTTATCAAACGGGTTGTACCCGAGTGTGCTCCACCGAGCGGTGGTTAACCGGACCAAGCATAGATTATCCATTGCTTTCCTATATGGGCCACCATCAAGCGTTGAGATTTCTCCTTTACAAAAACTTGTAGGTCCAAATCATCCTCCCCTCTATCGGCCAGTCACTTGGAACGAATACCTTGGCACTAAAGCTACGTATTTCAACAAAGCATTATCATCGGTTAGGATTTGTGCTCCTCTAAATGGTCTGGCTGATGTAAGCGATCATAATAGGGTAAGAGGTGGTTAGCAAATGAGTTCCGCTCCCCACCCCGCTCCCCACCCCTCTCTATTGTAAGGAATGCAATTTTGTCTTATGCATACAATTTTTCAAGATTTTGATTGATCGGCTATGTTAAGGAAGGACGCTCAATTTCTTAATTCTTTGAGTAATTTAGATATTGAGGTTATCACTTCAATGAGTTTATTAAATTATTTATGTTTGAGATCGTTAAAGAAAGCATAATGTCATGAATTAACATGTAAATTTGAGTTGAATATATTCATGCGGTCCAACCAAAGAAAAGTTCCTTTTGAAAAGGTTCAAAAAGATGGCTATATCAAATCATATAAAGGAATAAAGACATAAGCTCTCTATTATGTCTTTTGTCCTTGTGTTGCTGATAGAGAAATAGGGGGAAACATATACTATATATCCATCTGCATGTTCAAGTAAAAGACACAGAAACCGACATGTTTTGCCCCGGATATGATGGAAGATCCCCAATCTAATTGCAATAAGACAATTATCAAGATTAAAATATTGTCATTAGTTGTGAATCTTTGAAGTTGGTGAAAGTTCATTAAGAAAAAGAACCTTTGAACACAACAATCATTCCTCCAACGAATAAGACATGGATTACTGGTAATCCTGAAATTTAACGACAATAGTGCAATTTACAAGGATCAGGTTTGTTGAAATAAGCCTTTATCGCCCTCGGGGCCCGAAGCAACATGGGAATGTTCTTATGAGATCAAAGCAAATCAAAGGAGGACATGGGGCGATACAAAATTAGACGAGGACGCAGGAATGCCATGGATGCTTTGTAAAATACTTGAGCAAGAGGGGGGGAATATCAAGTGTCAGTCCTTTAGCTAATTTTTCTGCGAGTTGAAGATGTTTCTTGGCTATGCAACCACGTGCTCCTCGGCATTGGCCAACCCATCTGCGCGACCTGCCTCATTGGTGGGAGCTAGGAAGTTTTTACCGTCTGTGTTGGCCAGTTGACAGCATTGAAAGAGGCCACAAAATTTTGTTTTCACTGAATAAACTCATGTCTACTGTGGGTTAAAAAAACATTCAAAAAAATAAAATAAAATGAATATACTGTTTTTTCTAATGTTTTTTATTTTAAATAAATCAAGAATTATTTGTATTAATAAATAAAAAAACCATTAATAATAACTAAAAATAAAATTGAAAACATCCAAAGACATAAAAAAACCATTAATAATAACTAAAAATGAAATTGAAAATATCAAAAGACATATATATATACATATATATGTCTAATCTTACAATACATGTAATTTAGTGGTGGTTATGTTTATTTATACATATATATGTCTAATCTTACAATATATGTAATTTACGTGGTTATGTCTAGTGATTTTGTTTATCAAAATTATTTTTTTATTTAATCAAATAATAATAAAAATAGACAAACATATGAAATTGAATAAAATCAAAGAAAAAAATGTTATCAAAAAAATATTTTTAAAAATAAAATTCATTTATATAAAACATAAAAATTTTTTATAAAAAAATAATCTATAAATGAATTGGAATAATCTCTTCAAAAACTAAATTCATTCAAAATAATTAAAAAACAACAACTACCATTTAAACAAGAATAAATAAAAAATCAAAGATAATGAGTAGTAATTTAAATATAAATTATTTTAAAAAAAATACATGTTAAAGAAGGTATCAATGAAAAACAAGCAAGATAAGAAAGATAATAACTTATTAAAAAAATAAATCAATTAAAAAAGAAAAGCCAAACACTACTTCACCTAACAAAGTAGGCGACCATGCTTGGCCCCTTTGAAAAAGGTCCATGTGCAGGTCCTTTTTCTTTTTTTTTTTAATTGCTAAAAAATCAGATAACACGTCTTCTAATTTTCTTTGGATTTCAGCTACTATGGTTCCCGAAAAATTAAAGCTCATGGTTTTTTTTATCTAAAATCTTATTTTCAATTTATTTTGATCTAAAACACTTAGAAACTACCCTAAATATCTTGATAACCCATCAATAGCCTTAAAAAAAATGCACAAAAACCCAAAAATCAACTTTAAATTAAAAATCTTCTCAATCATAGATCTAGTTTTTAGGCAGTTTGAAAACGAAAAAAATAGATAAATGAAACTTCCCTCACCAAATAAAATCTATTGATACCAAGATAGATGATGAAATTATATTAATGCTGATTTGCTTTTTCTACCATTAGAATTTGACTACTCTCTCTTTATTTCTTATCTCTCAAACCAAGGTTTTAAAAATCAAGGAAATGAAGTTTTTAACTAAAATTGACTTTGTTTTGAAATTTAAAAAATTAAAGGAACATAATATTTATAATTTTAGAAAGTATAAGGATTACAATGAATATTTCTCCCAAAGTTAAAAAAAGCCACCAATTTCCTCCATTTTTTCACTTTAGTCCTCTATTTTTTAATCTCACCCTTTCCTTACCAATTAACTTTAAACTGACCTTCAATTTTGTCTTGTAAGAGCGAAATAAAAAAAAGGAAGAAAAATGTGTTCCAAAAAGGAAAGGAGAAAAATATTATAAGATGTAAATAGACGAGCAACCGCAAATCCATCTCTTATCATGAACTGAGTCTCCGAGTTAATAAGAGTAAAACTATAATTTTACTACTAATGATTTTATAGCTACAGTATATTTGCATACTGGAAGCTATTTTAGCAGTCCAGCGGCAAGATCTTCTAATTATGCAGTTCGTCTTTTCACTTTTAGATAATCAAACATCCCTATAAATTTTAGATGCAGTACTGTATTAGGATTGCTATGTTTAAATGTTTCTTTTCAGAGGAATATAAAGTCATCTTCTCCTCAGAACATCACTGCAGACACTTCAAAACATAAATTCTGCTGATTTTGATAATTTGAGATAAGGTTCTTGCCTTGATATATATATATATATATATATGGATTAATTTACATGTATTTTGATTAATTTTACTAGCTTCAAAGTTCATAATCATATAAATTAAGCACATCTAAAAACCCGATCTATTGACATACACCTTACAGAATTGTTGTTGGCTTGATCTTAATTCTAATAGTAATCGACTTACACACTTATCTAGTAATTTGAAATCAACCGTGGAGTTTGGGCTGTCAAGAGACATGGTTAGGAAATGAGTACTCTGTCATGGAGTTTGTGCTGTACCTGTAGGCTGTAGCCCATCAACTTCACTTTGGCACAGAATATCTCATGGCCCTGAGGTGGTAGCTTGTTGAGTTCAACATGTTCATCCCAATCTTTCTTCAGGCCCAAGTTATCAACAACCATTCTCACTATTACAATGCTTTTAAACTTTATTTTTTTACTATTTCATCCTTACATGATATTTGCTTTGATGAAGGATACAAGTTAAGAAAAAAAAAAAAAAAGCATTTCACTTTTTACTATTCAAATGGTGTGAAAAACGGCAATTTGATCCCTAAATTTTAAAACTTTTACCTATTTGATCACTGTTGTTCGAGTTTGACAGCATTCTACCAATAAAAAAGCTATTTTTGATGGACAATTGGTTTGTTTTAAAGAGTATATTTAATAGAAGTGGTTTAGAACTTTTTTCTTGTTAGAAAAAGGTAAATCTAAATTAGGGATGATATTTTCAATTCAACCTAATTTTTTGATTTTTATATTTTAAAATTTAAAGCGAATATCTATTTTCATTACAACAAAACTAAATAAAACTTTAATTTTAGAAACTACCCCGTAAAATCATGCGGGCAGAAAAACTAGTGTGGTCTAATTCCAAAACTTGCCTCGATAAGGACGGTATGGTTTGCTGCCAACCAAAAAAATGGAAAGCAAGGATGCAAATCATAAAGTGACAAAATCTTGTTTCCGAAGGGAGCTTTCGGGTACCTTTACTATGAATTATTGAGATAAAATTTAGTGTCTTTGATTCTTCTGATTCTTAGCGAAAGAGCCACTACCGAAAAATTATTAAATATAAATAAAAATATTGGTAAAATTTTTTCATTAATTTATTAGAGTGATATTTACCAACCAAATTTTTCCATCACTAATTTTATTAGTAAATATCAACGAGAATATTCCAACAGGATATACCAAAGGAATTACAATTAAAAAAATAAAAAAAATCAAACAATATGATGATATGTAAGTTTTACAAACGAAATTACCTATAGAATTAGCTTGATAGTAAAATTCATCCATAAATATCTCAATGAAAAACTTTCATTGATATATACCGACATCATTATAGATGACACTACTATGAGATTCAAGAAAGCAAATCGTACTATGATGTGATATTTTTACCAATAAAATTATTAATAAAGTTATCATCAGAATAATTCCGTTGGTCACTCTATCGATAATATTTAATTTATGACATGTTGCTTAACCCTTCTCTCGCTGTTTCCCATTTCTACTTCGTCCTTGTCTATTTTTTTTTGCAACCAATAGTCACCCCTCCTCAATCTCAATACAACTTAACCTCCCACCATAACACTCATTTTGTTAGCATTCATGTTCTGATTCAAACTTTATTAAAGATTATCCACTTTAAGTAAGCAAATCTATCCTTTTTAATTTGAACATAATTTTTTTAAAAAAAATTTTGCATATTTTTTGTAGTATATGTATTTTGTTTAGTTGTTTACTTGTTTTATAATTTTTTTCTCAAACAAACTTTTTATATGGATTTATGATTTGTACATATTAGAGTTTGTTTTAGATTTTATAAAATTATATTTGTTTGTAAATTGTTGAAACATATGTTGAATTACCAATTTAGGTGTTTTGTGATGAAATAAATAATGGCTTATTTAACAAGTCCGTTTTATATTTTGTCAATTTTATTACAAAGTTGTAATTTCTAGTAAATATATACAAATTTTCATTTATATAGATAATTGATAATGTATTAATAGAAGTATTAATATATATTGAACAAGCTTGAGTTAAACCAGTATTTTTGCAAATTTATTTAGTTAACATAGTTAATTAATACAAGTTGTCATCATTAATTTATAT